ATACGGATATACATTGGGATGTTATTTAAACATTGATATGGATATGAATATAAGTATGGGTATGGATACATATATAAAGATATAGTCATGGATACGGATAAGGCTATATGAGGATAAAAATGGTGGTATGGACATGGATAAAGATATGAATATAGATATGGATAAAGAATACTCATACGGATATTCATGTATATCTACATATGTATATCATCATCATCATATGGATATAGATATGCATAAGTGGATAAGGATAGTGATATAGATATAGATGAATATGTATATACATATGTGGATATACATTTGGATAGGATGGATATATTGACATATAGATAGATATAGATGGATAATCTCACTGGAGCTTTCCATCGAATTGGCAAAGTGAAGAACTTTTTGCTTTTGGCATTAATCAATGCGAAATTATGCGCGACTTTGCATAATAAACATTTCATTGCGCATTCGTTAAATTCAATTCAGATGAATTGTATTACTTTTTTTTTTTATTGAAAAATGTTTTTTTTTTTTCTTTCGATTCTTTTTTTTATGCATTTGGTTTTTGTAGCCTTTAGATGGGAATCTAAAAAGGAATTCGAGTGTGTATTATGTGGCACTGGGCGCATTGAAAAGCGACTGGAAATGTTAATCCGCAATGGGAAAATTAATTTTATAAAACAGCTGTATGTTACACACACACTCACACACACACACATGTACATGGGAGTGAAACTTTTCAGTCGTCCTGTGGCACATCCTGGGACCGTTGCATTGCGCTATCATGCGGCAGCGGCAGCGGCAGTGACAACGAGACAAATCCTTTTATAACAGCGAACAGCAGCGGCTGCAGCAACAACAACAAACAGCAGTGTGACATGAAAATGTGTGAGGGGGGGAATTGGGAAAATGCCAAGCAAAGAGTTGCTCTGAGTTATGCTTGGGATCGGCCACAAATTTTGACTATTGCTGCTGCTGCGTAATCCCTCTCTCCCTCTCGCTCGCTCGCTCGCTCTCCCCTTCACTTGCCTAGGTGCCCGGATCAACTAAAATGGCTGCCTTGTTGTTGTTGTTGTTACTGTTGCTGTTGTCGCTGCTGTTGTTGCCGACGAGCAACCGCGAAAGTTGGTCGGCTGCCGCTGCTTCAACCCCCGACGGCAAAAAAAATCGAACAGCTGAATCGGAGGTGACAATGGCTTGGCCAGTCCGCTGGGTGGAGGGCAGAGGGAGAGGAGAGAGATAGAGAGCGAGAGGGGAGGCTGCGCCTGCTTGTGATTTATGACTGCGATGGCAGCCCTCATGCCCGGCCCCGCTGCCCGCCCTTGGGCGAGCCGAATGAAAACATTAGGGCGTAAATGTTTGCTCTGTTCTGGTGCAGATAAGCTGCGTAAAATTATTACGTTATTTGTATTGGTTGCAATCAGCAGCCCACCGCCCACCGACCGTCGCGTCGCCCAACCCCTAGACACACGCACACACACACACACATACAGACAGAGGCCACCCCTACTGTGCGCTGCCATAAAGATGCCTATCATTCAATTAATATTTGCCCGGGCAAACGAGTGCGCCGTTAATTTTTGCCATTTGTGAGAAATGATTATTTATGTGCAACGCGGCCGGCCATCCCTCCCTCTCCTGCCACCGCCTCGCCTGTGTGTGTGTGCGGTAGGTGGAGCCATGTGGGGCCGCAGCCAACTAGCTCTGCCACCGCGCCCTGCCTGCTAATTGAGTTGCTTGGCTTCCTTCTGGCCGCCGGCCTGGGCCCGGGCCAGACAGTTGCATGCAGCACTCGATTTTCATGTTGCTGCCGCTGGCGTCGCCTGTTTGCTCTGCTTCTTGTTTTTTCTCTGGTGGCTTTTACGGCTTTTCTAGCTGCCGCTGTAATTCAATATGCGCCACGTTTTTATAGGTGTTGCCCCAGCACACGGCCGCTTGGCACAGTGGGGCAAAGCCCAAGCGAAATTTGCATAAATGCCAAACCCGATGCTGATCTAGTCTATGATTGAGCAGGAGCATAGACATACCTATATAGGGTATATCTATAGATATATGTAGCTATATATAGACATGTTGTAAAAATGAATTTGATTCAGATAGTATCTATCTATATCCATGCTCACTTCAAGTATTCAAACGATTCTATCTATTCTCTTCCATCTAGTTTCTGAGTGGTGCGCATTGCCAGTGGTAAACGCGGCACTGTGCAAGCTCTGGCACCGCCTCAAGCTAGTTGTAGACAACAGTAACAGGAGGATGACTTACAAAGCGCAGTGCATGAAGGAGAAGACGAGAAGCACAGAAGCAGCAACAAGACTGTGGAAAATCTATATATGTAATTGTCAATGCACTTTTCCAACACCGCCCACTCGCAATGCAACGCCTGCTGACCCCACCCTCCTCGCCCTGTCGTTCTACACAAGAGCCGTGTGCATTTCAAAAATCAATTGTGTATGAAACGTAACGGCAACTGCTCGACACGAGCTGTGTAAAATCAAACGGAATATCCATTCCATGCGAGTCGGCCTGCCCGGCAGTCCTCGCACCGGGCCGGTGTCCTGGCCGTGCCGCGTTACGTGTCGTTTTTCACTTGCCCGGCCACTGCAGGGGCTTCACGGCCATGGGCCAACGACCGAGCGACCGAGCGACAGGCAGTCCAGTTGCCTTCGGTGCCCTCTTCCCGGTCACGTCCTGCTTCAGTTGTCAGCAGCGGAATGCAAACAAATCAATGAACATGTCAACAGAGCGCACCGAACATGCGGCTGTGTTTGCTCTGGGCATTAGGTGACAATTCTATGCCAAATGATCCTCGATCGAGACCCGAAATGTTGTTGCTCGATCGGCGAATGAATGCGGAAGGAAGGCCTTGTCGATTTTGGCCATTTGGCAGTTGGGCCGACGGCGCTAGCAGCATGTTTGCTTAGGCACAGTGAGAGGGAGGGAGAGAGCGAGGGGCACCTAAGCAAATAGGCAAGAATCTTGGCGCAAATTGAGTTGTTGTTGTTGGCCGGCAAATGCGAATGAGGCAAAAAATTAGCGCAAATTATGCGCTGCTAATGCGCAAAGTAAACTCAAATAGAGCAGCGCACAGCCGTGTGTCCTTGCGTGTCCTGTCTCCCGAGTCCTCCTCTGTTTGTCCAACCCTCCGAGTGATGCGCAGCAAATGCCTTGGGCAAATAGAAAAAAGTCGACACTCATCGTTCATCTTTCGGCTGCTTTTTTCGGGCACATTTGACATTAAAAATATGCCATGTCTCTAGAGTCTAGCCATCGCCCTCACTCCCTCTCTTTCTCACTCGCACGCTCTGTGGCCCACTCACATTTCAAATTTCTATTTGCATAGCGATTTTCTTTGGGAAAATCTATGCATTTGCAACGCTCACGCACTCCCATATGCCATACCAGTTAGACACCAACACACACACACACACACATGTACGCACACACACACATATGGCAAATGGGGCAAAATCTGTTGGCTGTTTGTAATTTGTTTGTTTTATGGATTTGGCAACTTTGATTTTCGAGGGCGTCTTTCGGCTCGACATATGCTTAATTAAACAATTGCCACTGAGTCTACGCAGTGCAAACAAGACTTAAACCAGATAAATACACACACACGCACACGCACACGCACACGCACGCACGCATACAGGGAGAGCTTTGACTTGTTCCTCAGAGCCACAGACACAGATACGTTTCAAGGCGTTGAGCCATATGAAATCAAAGTCAATTCCAATCGGCAGACATCAATGTGAGCAGCAGTCAGCGGGTCAAGAAATTGACTTCTCTTTATGGGTTATTTAGTTTTAACCCAATTGAAGCTCACAAGACTCTAAGAACTCGAGTTGGAGTTGGGATTACTCAAGATTACTTACTGATAGCTGATTCAAAGAAGATATATCGAAGCCATATATATTGGATTTACAGTGAGAATGAGTTAACCATATATAATACATACATATATATGTGTATATCGTTTTATAGGTATTCCAAGAGTCTAAAGTGTATACCCATAGCAAAAACATCGATTCAAGAATAAAAATTCAATTCAATACAAATCGATGTGCAGAACTAATTGGGCTAAAGAATTTGGCATTTCCATAAAAACGGAAAATTTATCTTTAATCTATCGACTCTAGCATACCAACCATAGACTAAAGACTGTGCTGGTAACATAATACATTTGAATGGCATAGATGCAGCACTTAATGTATACAATTAGAAGAGACTATAGACTCTAAACCACACTTTAGACTATAGACTAAAGCATTTCTATAGACCACACTCTAGAGTCTATAGAGTTTATGGACTTTTTATAGCCATTAGACTATATAGCTCAATCCTCAAGTTTGTAAAAGCGTTTACGTATTGTTTTACTATGACAGCAAACGAAAACATTGAGCCTAAGCCGAAACTCTCTCATAGGCAAGAGATAACAAAAGCTAATTTTTGAGTTTTATTATGCGATTTATATAGGCGTCTTAGGTAAAAGGCAAAGCTAATTCTGAGTTTTATTGTGCGATTTATATCGATATCTGTGAAACGAGTAATAAAACTTCAACATGGCTTTGCCTTCTCCCCCTTTGTCTGAATTTCGCCCTTAGTCTTAGAATTAGTTCAATGATAATGGTTTAAATATGCACAACAGTTGTGCTGAAATAGGTCCATGGGCGAATACACAAATTCAAATGAATTTCAGTGAGAGCTATTCTTCTCGAAACACGTCATCAAGCTTGACAAATATCGGGCTATTAGCTTACGAGATGGAGCATATTGAGTGAAGCCATTTTTGTTGGCTTAGCAGAAAATGAATAAAATAAAAGAGCAAATCCGAATAAATACTGCAGCTAATTTTTGACCTGATAAATTATTATATATCATTATGGTTTTATAATCATCTCATTAAGGCAAATTCCCTTTGAGCTCAATCTCCGTTCGATTGACTTGAACTACATATTATTTGACAGACTCTAGGCAGTGGCTTTAGATATACTACATAGATCAAACTACTATCGCTAGTATCAAAATTCGAATTAAAGAGCTCAACTGGCTTCAAGTTGCTTCAGTTATAGATAGATAGATCTATATGCATCTCTAGTGGCTCTATCTTACCTGTACTCTGGATTCGGGCAAATTGATCTTGAGTGCGACCTCCTCGCGCATGAATATATCCGGGTAGCGTGTCTTGCCAAAGAGCGCCTCCAAGACGTCGAGCTGGGCCCGTGTGAATGTTGTACGCTCGCGACGCTGTTTTCTCGTGTTGACGCCTGCAAAAATAAAATAGCACGGGAAAAAAGAAAGAGAGAGAGAAAAAAGAACATAATATTAGCCAAGTTTGAATAGTCAGTGAATGCCTAATCGAATGTGCTGAAAGTTCTTGCATTTTTTTTGGGTGGAGTTTGGCTCGGGTCTCGAAGCTCTGGCACATTGCGCATACGCCGCGTGGGCCAAACTTTAATTAACATACACACACACACACACACATACGTATACGTACGAGAGATGCTTTTCCCAGTATTTTGCCCCCATTTTCCTTTTTCTTTCTTTTTGTGTGTGTGTGTGTGTGTTTCTTTTACTGCTGCTGTGGCAAACCGTTATTCTTAGCAACCCCCGTCGAAATGCCAACCCTAAAAAGCATTTGCTGCTCTGAACCAACCCCGCACAGCGCCGTCCAAAACTTCTTTTGTGTGAGTGTGCATGTGTGTGTGTGTGCGCGTGTGTATATAATGTATTCTATACATATGTAGTGCGTATATAAAGGCAACTACGTATGTGTGTGTGTGCGTGTGTGTGTGTTAAGCCGCGGCATTGTTTGTTTTTGCCGGGGCAGCCGTTGTCAGTGCGTGTCTGCTGCTCGCTCTGCCTTTGTCCCTCTCTCTGCTGCTGCTGCTGCTGCTGCCTCTGCCTCTGCCTCAGCCTCTGCCACGGCTGCTGCTGTCCCAAATATTCATCGTGTGCACCCCTTTTTGTGCCGCAATGCCTTTCGTATGCGTACCCCAGCAGCCACTCTGCCTCCTGTGCCGCTCACTACCCTGCTTGCGCACTCCCTCTCCCTCTCTCCCTCTCTCTTTCGCTCTCTGTGCGCTACTCTATGCCCATCTCTGTTTGGCTCTATCAAAAATTAATGAGTTAGTCATTTTGGTCATGAATTTTTAAATTGAATAAAAAACTTCAACTCAGTTGGCTCGCGCGTTGTCGTTGTCGCTGGCTTTGCAGCTGCCGCTTTTCGTTGTTGTCTTTGTTGCTTCTTTTTCTTATTTTAGTTTTTTTTCTCGTTATTTTGAATGCTTTCAAAATGGTCGCCAGCGCAGTTGTTGTTGTTGTTGTTGTGGCTGCCTTAAAGCAAAATTAATTGCAATTTGTAGTTTGCCTTTTGCGTTTCATTTTTTTCATATTTATTTTTCATATTTATTTTAAATATATATATTTTTATTTTATTTTTGTATTTTTATTTTCGCATTGCCCAAAAGCCTTGGCAGCAATCGCATAAGACTTGTTTCATTAACTGCACCTACATATATATTTTTAACTGCTTTTATTTTGATATTGATTTTCAATATTTGTCAATGCTTTCGAGTGTTTCTTATATTTGCCTGAATAGCTCGCATAATTAAGCTGTCATTATTTTGTTCAATTACATTTTTAATTAGTTTTTTAGCTAATTTCGCGAATTTATCAATGACTTGTAGAAGTTTTGCATTGGAGCTCGATTTATTTATTTCGTTTCTGTACGATTTCAGCTGAGTTCCGGCTTGTTTACACATACATATCAACAGAATAATATATGTGTGTTTGTATACAGGAAATTAAATATTCATAATAATAATATTCGGAAAGTTTCTGCAAATCTTTTTTTTTTTAACAAAAATTTCCATGAATATGAATTATATATAATATATTATTATTATTATTATATGAATTTCATTCAATTTCAAAATTCTAGTTATGCCATCTCTTTAATTATTTAGTTAATTATCGCCGCTTCAGCTCGCTCCATTCTCAGCCGCTTATATAACCCGCCCGACAATATCTTCCATCGACAGATTCTGCTATAACTTGGCTTATTACAAGCGCGACCATGTTAAAAGTAAATAAATAACAAATCAAAATTGATTACATGCGATTGTTTGTATTATTATCTCTCGGTCTCTCTCTCTCTCTCTCTCTCTCACTCTTTCTGTGTTTTCTCTGCTTTATTTTTTTTTTTGGCATTTTGTAGCATTTTTGTCAGTTTTTTATCATTTGCAGCGTCACCGAAATGAGACAAATAACTGGAACCTGACAAGAAACGCGAAGAGAGAAAATGAAACTGAAAAAAAGTTCGACTCATGCGTTCCCAAGCGCGCTGCGACGGCCACTTTGGCTTCAGCTCATTATTCATTTTGACAATTCGACTGATAATGATGCAATCGATGCGAAACGGCATTGAAAAGCATTTTGTGCGACAACTGAACGGCACGCAGTCAACTGCCCCCGATCTGCCATCCATATAGCCATATATACATATAGTAGCCATATCTCTGCATTGTCCCAAATCTCGCTCTCTCTCTCTCTCTCTTCTGTTCGTTCTCTCTTGGCCTGCGCATGCAAATTGAGTTATCAGCCAGCGAGTCTGATGACCGGCCATATATCATTTATCATTCGAGTGGGGCCCGTCTTGGGTCTGGGTCTGGCTCCCACAGCTGGCTTTCAGCACATTTGTTCTTGCGATTCGATTCTTACGTGAGCTTTGTAGTCTACCAAAATTGTTTTGCGATATTTACCCCACATACCTTGGGAGAACCCAACAGCCTCCAGTCCGTGTGGCAGGCCGAAGGGACCCAAAGATGGCATCGGCATGCCCGGCGGCAGCGGTCCGTGCGGCACCGAGTGGTGCGGATGTGGTCCGCCATAGCTGTGCGGATGCGGGCCCAAATCTCCCGATTTGAGAAAGCCCGCCGCCATCAAGGCTTCCGTTGAGTGCAGCGCCACGTTGATGCTGTTTATGGTGTACAACCGTTGATGCTTCAATTGGCCAAAATTGATTGATGGCTCCGTGTGGGCGTGCGTGTGGGCGTGGGCCTGGGCGTGGCAGTGGCCAAAACGCCGCTAACAGTCAAATGGCGTTTATCTAGACGAATGAGGAAAGAGCATAATTAGAGAATGTTGTAAAAGAGATATAGTTGTAGTTTAGTTAAGTGTTATACAAAGATGTATTAGAACTGTTATACTTATAACTATGCTAAAAGATAGTGTGAAATAGTGCAGAAACAGGATTAGCCGAGAGAGAGAAAGCGAGGATGTGATCAAATGCGCATTGGAGTTTATAAAACTGTTATACACATATTAATTATATAGTAAATATAGCTCTTGTTCATTGAACTATATTTAAAGAGAGCGTGGAGAAGTAACAGGATAAGTCGGGAATGTTATCAAGGTAGAAGAAGCTGTGACAAACTGTGGAAGTTCATAGAACTGTTATACATATATTAGATATATAGTAAATAGAACTCTTATACATATATTAACAAAGAGTGTGACGTAGTACACAAACAAGATTGGTCAAGATTGATGGAAGAAGAAGAAGTGGCAAATATGAATATCTTTCTAGTTTATGGAACTGTTATACATATTTATTAGAGATTGAAATGAATACACAATAGAGACTAAGAATTAAGCACTGACTAGATGGGCTTTTGGTTGACTGTTATATGTATATTACAGATATACCAAGTGGAACTGTTATACATATTTGATAGCTGTAATCATCATAATCATGCCGATCAAGAGTTTGGTTCATATATTGCTCTAGTCATCGTTGCCCTTTGCTATCAATATCAAGTAACTGTATGCATTTCCTTTAACTGTTTAACTGTTTTCTATTCACTTTCCAATCACTTCATAATCTCTGCCATATTTGCCATCTTATGTGCCGGTCCTTGAGCCTCGGCTCTGGCTGTGTCTGTGGCCTCAGCCTCAAATTGGGCCAGATGTGTTATTAATTTGCGTGTGCGCGTGAGCATGTAATTTGGAAGCGTTGTTGGGGTTCGGCTTTGGACAGCCTCTGCATATACAGATATATATCTATACTTATACCTATACATATATATATCTATGTATGTATGTGTATGTGTATGCGTATGTAGGGATTCTGGCTCGAGTGGCTGCTGCAATGTTGTATTTGCGGCTTTGGGTTTTGGCTTTGCCGGTTTCCATTTCGCTTGCACTCGGATGCATTGAGCCATGAAAACGACATGACAAAACAAAACAAATTTGCTGTGCACGGTGCAGGCTACTTTACCCTATATATATAGCTGTGTGTGTGTGTGTGTGTGTGGATTTATATTGGAACGGTCGATGGTCGATGGTCGTTGGTCGTTATCGGGTCGGGTATATATGTGACAAATAGCTGGCTGCATTTTCCAATTTCAAAACAATGAGAGACCTCCGAGGTGTCCGTGCTAATCCCGCAATTTCACTGCCTCTCGCTTCTGCGCCTATTCGCCGTCTCATTTGCACTGGGCTCACATATTGCTAATTTGTATTTTTCGCACGAAACCACCGAAAAATAGAGAGAAAAAAAAGAAAAAGAATGTGGGACAAAAGAGTTTCGAACTCGTCGCACGGCATATGAGTATTAAGCCAGGTTCAGCTCGAGTTGAAGGCCGAGTTTGGTCCGGCCTAATCTTAATGCCCAAGCCATTGTCCCATCATGCCCAGTGCATGTGTGCATGTGTGTGTGTGTGTGTGCCCATCCCAGTTCGTCCTTTTAGTAAGTGTCTTGCCTAATCCAGTGGCTAAGCACAGATCAAAGATCTTTAAACCGCAAGACTGCCCAAATACTAAGTCTAGGCGGTTCTCCTTTCCGTTCCCGTTCCCGTTCCCGTTCCTCTAGCAAAAGGCGTTATTACACAGTTGGGTAATCTTGCGATAGTAAACTCTGAGCAAGGATCCCTACAACAGGCCACAGGATTTGCCACACAGACAGGGCTAAACTGTGGACTAGACAACTTGCTTGAGCTGGGTTTGCAAAAGGAAAAAATATTCATATAGGGCTTATCGCAGAACAAGTCTATTCTAAACCTAATGAGCAACTGTAAATGTTTAGATTTCATGTGGGTCTTTATAATATCCATGTTCGACAGAACTATAGAGTTTTGATCATCATTATACTAATAGCAAATTTAATGATCATAATAGGGTTTATAAGTTAATAGCCAATCTATATGCTAAAGGAAAATATACTAATTTTTAGTATTTTGTTTTACATATTTCATCATTGAATTGTTAATAGACGGATCTGTGATAAGTGATATACTTTTATACAGTTTTACTGTTATAGTGTTGTACTGCTATAGCAATATACTAGTCCACTGTTATACTGTTATATTGTTATACTATTGTACTATTGTACTGTTATATTGTAATATTAATAAACTATTATTCTTGTATTCTCTTATATGCTCTACTTTAAATACTTTTATACTGTTATACTGACATACTCCTGTCCTATTATATTGCTAAAGGTTTATTTTGAAGTGTTCCTGTATTGTTATATGACTATACTAATTAACTGTTATGCTGTGATATTTTTTAGCTGTTATACTCTGTACTGTCATACTAGATCTAGCTGTTTTATGGCTTGCCAGGCAGGTGGGCTTGGGGGCAGCTGTGACTGTGACTGTCTCTGATTTGCTTTTTTTGCCAAATGTGGCACATATGAAGAAGAAAAAGAAGAAGAAGAAGGAGAACGAGAAGAAAAAACAACAAACAAAACAAAAAAAAACTAAAAACAAAATAACAACAATATAAAGAGCTACGTGATTTTCTTGACATTCGACGCTGCTGATTATGAAAAATCATGGCAAAAAAGCGAGAGATAGAGGGAGAGAGAAACAGCAGCAGTCGAGGGAGGCAAAGGCCCCGCTGGCCTTTGTGACGGTGCGCCTCGGGGACTCGAAACGCTGGGACTCTCGGCATGTCGCACGGGCCCAAAATCATTCCGGCTCGACATATATCACGTACACGCACTTTCATTAAAAATTCAGTCTGTATTCGGCGAGCGACAATCTGCATTTTCATTTTCACTTTCAGTTTCCGGGCGTCGAGCTGAGTATCTCTTCTTCTCAATTGACTTCAATTCAGAGATTCAGTTTCAGCTTTACCTTTCCAATTTAGCTGCTATCCTGTAGCTATTACGATTGTCTCTGTCTGTATGTGTGTGTGTGCCAGTGTGTGTGTTTGGCTTATGATTCTTGTAATGCATATGTTGTGTCCCGCCTGCCTCTTGCTCGTAATTACGGTCAAAATAATATTTTCGAACTACTGATAAGTGGCGGACAGCGGCGATCCGAAGGTAAACAGCCTTAGGAAAATAAACAAATCGAACGCTACCGAATCTTTCGAGCTCAACTGATTGACTCACTGACGGACGGACCGAGTGACGGACGGACGAAACATTGGACAATTGTGGACCAGCGCCCGCACTTTAAGTAAGCTGGACAACGATCGAACTACCGAAACGGTAGCCCCAGAAGACCGTGTGCTATATATAGGTCTAATTGTAGCTCTCTCTCTCTCTCTCTCTCTCTCTCTCTCTGTCTTTCTCTCTCTCTTTTTCTGTGGCGTTTTTCTGATGGTACCCTGGGAAAGTGTGTAACCAAATATTGTGATCGTTATGACGCTGGCTACTGTTAATTTGTGCCATGGGAATATTTTGTTGCTGTCTTCGACATATTCAAGTTGATCGTTTAATTTGTTGTAGTTGTTGTTTTTGTACGGTTTTTGGCGAGTTTTGTTTGGTTTTGTTTTGGCCAGCCGTGATTAATGATTCCAGCTAAACGAATGTGGCATTCAAATCTATTTCCAAAGCCCATTGACTGTCTCTGTGCATGTGTGTGTGTGCGTGTGTGTTTAGAAAGCGCCAGAGTGAGATGAGCAAAAATAGTTGGCCCAATGCAGCCGAGACAAGTTCAAAGTCTGGCCATTATTCCACTTCCCGCCAGCGTGTGACAGGCCGCAATATTGTGCAACAGAAATGGCCAAAGCCAGCGGCAAATTGCCAGAGCCGATCGAGCCAACTGAGCTGAGCGAGTGCAACCAGCTGTCAAAAGTGCTCACTTGTCATATGCTGCCATAGACAGAGCCGTTGCCTCGTTTAGTTGCCCGTTGCCTGTTGCCCGTTGCCTGTTGCCTGCTGCAGTTGCAGCTATTAGCGGCCTTAACAAGCTCCATAACAACTTAATATGTCCAGCCGCGTTTGCTACAGTGCACTACACAGCTGGCAACAGCAGGTGCCGCCAAAATCTGGCGGAGTCGCTGCCGGCCGAGAGAAACGAGCTGATAAATGTGAGTTTCTTATGAATTTTCGCTGCGCTGTCAACGGCCAGTTGCAACTTTCTATCGCTTGCAGCACAGTGTAAAAGTGTGAAACGTTTCTCAGGCTCATTTACATAGCGAACAGCTACCGGAATCTGCCTGGCTGCCAGACAGCTCAACTGGCAGACTGCAACGCGAACTCGAACTCGGACTGGGACTGGGACTCTAGAGTGGGATGCGGATTGGGACTGCGGCTGGCCTAGCATAATAAGCTGTCTGTCGAAAATAATGCAACTTAATAAACGCAACAAAGAACGCGCGATGGCTCAGGTGGCACGTCCCGAGCTGCCAACTGGAAAAGGCAGCTCCAGCTCCAGCTCGAGTCGAGTCGAGTTGGGCTCAACTGGTAGCCAGTTGTGGTGGATCGTGCGCCATTTCTACGCAAATGCATTTTGACATTTAAATTTGCAATTTTCGCATAAAATTATATTTATTTTTCATTAGGTGGGGAGGGAAAATGCAGCCTTGCAGCAGCAGCAGCAGCAACTACTACTACTGTAACTGCAGCAGCAACAGTTGCTGCTGCTGCTGCTGCTGTACAATTCCAGCTACTGAGTGACATGCTGACGTTGACGTCCGCTGAAGTTTAATTAACAAACGTGCCAAATAATTGAAAAAGTGTGAAGATTTGACAAGTTTAATACGCATTCAAAATGCGCGCATGGCCTAGAAACCGCTAACTGCAACAGCAACAACAGCAGCAGCAGCAGCAGCAACAACTATGGCGACAACTTGGCTTTTTAATTAGTTTTCATTTTAATTTTTATTCATATTCATATTCATATTCATATTTTTTTCTCATTTTGTTAATCGTATGCATTACACATTTAATTAAATTGACACTTGAGCACGCTGAAACGAGTCTGGATAAATGGCATATATACATATATATACATATATGTATATATATAATATATAAAGTTAATAGACATACAGTTGGCATATTTTAATCACAAATTGGCCAATGATAGATTGCTCAACGAAAACAAGTTGCCAACACACACACACACACACATTCACACACACACACACACTCTTAGCTCTCTTTCCATCAACTGCAGCGCGAGCATCGTCAAATGCAAATTGTTAATAATTTCATGTGCTAATTGACGCTGCCAGCAATTAAATGAACAGATCAATTAAAGATTTGCCATGCTCAATGGTTGAGTTAAACGTCTGCAGTCAGAGTTCAGATCCGTCTGCTAGAAGGATGAAAATGAGCTGAGGTTGCTGAAATTATTGATAGATTGTGCGAGTGTGCATGAATGAATGAATGAATGAATGTTGCCTTGCCGAGTCGGACAAATGATTGCATCATAGTAAAAATAAATCAAACAAACCACACAAATCACAAATCAATAATAGAGTAAAGAGCCCTGACTGGGCACAGAGACAGAGCAATAGCAACAACAAATAACAATAACAACAACAAATAACAATAACAACAAAACTTATTATTTGACGCATTGTCAATGTGATCTTGATAACTGGCCGGTTCGGCATGGTACGGTTAGGTTCGCTCTGGTCCGGGCCGGGCCCGTCCCGGCCTTTTGAGTGATTTCTATTTAAATGGCTTTGTCAACGAAATTCGAGAAGCCAAAAAAACAACTAAAAAGTTTTCGTTGGGTACAGCCGCGTAATGAGCAAAGAGTGAAGAGAGATAAAAATTAATAATACAAATAATTGGGAAAAATAAAAAACGAGAGATATAAATAGGTATATACATATGTATGTATACACACATGGCGAGTGTGCTTGTATTGGTGGCAAAGAAGTCAATCGAAATGAAATGAAACCTCACTTAAGGCTAGGCGAGGCGACGCCAAGGCGTCACAAATTGACAAAGACTTGATTCCGTATTAGAGCCGAACAGCGTCGCCGCCTCTGCCTCTGCCTCTGTCACTGCCTATGTCACTGGCTCTGCCTCCATCAGCATCTCCATCACTGATCCCAGCTACAGCTTTCAGTGGGCAGAGGCAGACATTGGGCGTGCGTCGATGTATCTATGCTAAACAATGGAGCTATACGGTCTGGAAGCTCTCTCGGCTTTGCCTCCGCCCGATAAGCTATCAAAATGTCGCGACGCGATCTTGACTTCAATTCAATTCATGAATTGAAACGGACCAAGTAACGGATGTGGATGTGGCTCTAGCTCTGACTCTGACTGAGTCTGTGGCTATGAATGAATGAGCTATAGCAGAGCTCCAATTCAAATTGAAATTGGCAGCTCGAGTTCTGCTTGCCCCTGCGTGGGCGTACATTGAAGCTTGACTGTTCTTTTTCCTATATTTTTTTTTTTCATATTTTTTCTTAATTTTTTTTTATTATTTTGTTAATGCTTAGCTCGGCTCAGTTTAGACGCATGTGACAAGGGCCAGAATGAGTCTGACGCTTGCCAGCTGGCTAAAAACAAATTGCCTTGCATATTAATTTGAACATAGAGAGAGAGAGAGAGAGAAAGAGAGAGATGGAGAGAGAGAAAAACACAATATCTATGCAAATTAATAATAATACAAAACGACGCGTTGAGGCACAAAAATATTAAAAATATATAAAAATACATATATGTATTTATAAATAACATAGTATGTGCGTGTGTGCGTGTGTGTGTGTGTGTGCCTGCATATGCTAACACAAAATATGCTCGATGTTTTAATTTATGACCCAGCCGCTTTGAAATTAGCTAATAAAGCGCGGCGGCTACAACAACAACAATAACAAGAACAGCCTCAAAAAAATAATAAAAATAACCAAAAAATATATGAAGAAGAAGAAGAAGCTGAAGCTGAAGCTGAAGCTGAAGCTGAAGCTGAAGAATAAAAAAAAACTTATCAAAATGTGTGAATAATGTGACCTGAACGGGTCGCTCGAGCCGCGCTTCGAGAGTTTCTTCTCCCATTGTGTGCGCTGCACAGTAGTGTTTTTTTTTTTTTTGGATTCAGGTAGCCCCATCGCATATGAATATAGATATGCATAGTGATATTTAGTATGTTAGTTAGTTGTTAGTTGTGGATTGCCCATGTTTTGCCTTTGACTGTTGCTGATGCTGAGACCTCTGCCCCCTGCCCCCTGCCCCTTGCCCCTTGCCCTTTGCCTAATTAACAAGCAGTCCAAGAAAACAAAATATATCAAAGAAAAACAAAACTGGGCGGCATTAATATGCCCATTAAAATTATGAAAATCCATTTCGGCTTCAATGCGCTCTCATATTATGCACTCATGGGGACTCATCATGGAATTTCCTGTTTAGCTGCAATATGGATTTATCACAGTTCGCTTCTAGCCCAGTTTTTTTTTTTATAGAGCGCAATTATAGAGGGATCGCCTTCTATGCCGCCTTTAAAGTTTAGTTATTCCTTTAGCCATTTGAAGAACTACAACTATTATTGAGTTATTTATTTCATTAGTCTACCTATATATAATCTATGCTCATATCAAATAATTGTGTTCTTTAATTAACTAGAGAAGAAGAATAATAATCGAGCTCTATTCAACTATAGGCAAGTAGTAAATTCATATATGATTACAACTAAGGTTTAGCCTTAAAGCCCTTTTCCCTGTATCTCGAGAACTCTATCGTTTATTAAACTATTTCCTGCATAGCTTTATATATATATTCACCGTTCAATAATCAAATAATTCCTTTTTGCAATGAATTTACGTTATATGCCTTTTAGAGGTCGCAATAGAGCTTATGTCCTATTCATCAGTTGCTTAATCACAGACCAGTAGTGCATGCATATATGAATATAGCTGTATTATAGAAGATCTTTGAACTATAGACCTGAAGTTTCCTGTGCTGTAGGTCTATATATCTCGAAAACTCTAGCTATGCTTGGCCCATTTTTTCCAAATCTTAGCTGTATAATAACCTGTAACCTTACTAATCTTACCTTAGATAAATATTTTAGACGACTTAAGCTCTATTTATCAAATGGAAAGATTTTCAAATATTTTAAATTCTATAACAAAGTCAAACAACTTTTCACCTCTCTTATATTGTATATAAACAATGAACTCTGTTCTAGTGATATTAATGTCTTTGCAATCCTAGAATATAAACAACTTTAATTCTTCCATATTAGCTTTATTCATTCCCATATAAGCTAGTAATACGATAACCTAAAGCTTACTTCTGATATCTACTAGGAGTAGTACTTCGGGCCGACGGCAAATATTTGAAGCCCATCGCTTGTATCTCAATTGATAGCTAAGAGAACTATGTCAAGATCGAAGAGAACAGATCGAGTGGGACAACTTAGTTAAAGATAACTCAAAGTGAAGGACATTGCAATATTATCGAACAGTTTCCCAACTAGGCTGCCAAGATAATCCGAGAAAACAGTGATAAGTGCGCTAGTTTAACTTAGGTACAGCTAAATAGAGTTATAGGTATAATCCGTGATAGTCGTGATGGCATTGGCCGGCGTCATTTGGTTAGTTCATTGAAATATGGGTTATTATATTACATTGCTTGTTGGTAGTAAATTTCTGTTATAGATTGATATTGATAGATGGCTTTGGTGCACATCTGTAAACAGCACTCACCAAAAAAAAAAAACACACACACACACCAATATCGCGGAGCTTGAGCGATTCTCGATGCTGTCACTGTTGCCGTGCGGATATTCCAAAAGCGAGCAAAAAAATATACCGTTTAAGGATATCGGATTGCGGATATGTTGATGTTATTTGTTGTATAGATCCAATTGTTGGCGTCGATCGATGCCTTTGGCAGACAATACGATGCTGAGATCGACTCGGGTCTGCGATGCGTTATTCGGTATTCGGTATTCAGTTATTGGGATAGTTGAGTGTTTTGTTGTTTTAGCCAGGTTAAGGGCAAATACACTTGCTGCGGCAGACACCAAAAAAAACAATGCACAATTTATCGAACGACTTTAGTATCTTTTAGAACTTTAGCTAACGGCTCTTGTTGCTGTTGCTGTTGCTGTTGTTGTTGTTGATGATGTTTTCGTTGTTGTTGCTGTTGTTGTTTTGTGTTTAGGATTTTGCACACGCACGTTATTTAAATGTTTGTTTATTTGTTGCTTTTTTGCTGTGGGTGTGTATGTATGTATGTGTATGTGTGTGTGTATGTATGTATGTATGTTTGAGTGTGTCTGTGTATTTTAATGTATTTTAGAGTGTGTGCGTGACACGGCGTTGATTAAACGCGACGAAATATAACGGTGAACGGTAAACGATTGAACGCTGATTTGAACCAACAACAAAACGAGCGAGCGGAGCGACGAACGCACAACCCGAGCGGCACGAATGTTACTTTGGAACTGATTTTCGTCGTGACACCTTCAATGCGAGCAGCACCAGCAGAAGCAGCGCTAACAGCGTTAACAGCAGCGACAGCGGCAGCAGAAGTCGTTCGACCAGTCCAATTTGTTGTTGTTGCTGGCTGCGCTGCCTTTGCCTTTGCCTTTGCTGTTGACGTTGCCGTTGCCGTTGCCTCTGCTCTCTTCGTCGTCGTCGTCGTCGTCGTCGTTTATCGTCGTCGTCAATCGTCAGCAATAGCAACAACAAAAACACGAGTCCAAGCGACTTCCTTTTTCAACGCACGCACACATGCACAAAGAGAGCGAGAGCACAATGCTTTAGCAATGGCTGACAGCGAGCGCAAGCGACGCTCACCGTGTGCTAGAGCGAGGCAGCAGGAGTGCCAACAGCAGCGACTGCCTGGCTGGCTGGCAGCTCGCATTTATGGACTTGAACAGCGCTTGCACTTTTCGTCTCGCTCTCACCAGCCGTGCAGCGGGGCCAAGTGTGAGCAGGCGCGCTGCACTTGGCAGCTGTATTTACCTATGTGTTGTTGCTGTTTCTGTGTTTTTGCCGAACCACACCCCCAAAAACAATGAAAATTGCTGCTGGTTTGCTGTTGTATGTTGTTGTTGTTGTTGTTGCTGCTGCTGTCGCTGCTTTTGCTGGCTGTCGCTTCTTCGCACTCGGTTCAACAACCAAGCAGCAGTACGCCAATTTTACTTTTTTTTTATTACGATTTTTTTTCTTCTCCTTTTTTTTTTTGCTTTCTTGTTTTTGCACAAATTGTTTGATTCGCCTTAGTTGTTGCTTTTGCTGTTGTTGTTGTTGCTGTTGCTGCTGTATTTTGCGCGCGCAATGAAATTTTAATGAAAATGACAGACCAAACACACGCAAAACTCAACTACTAAAGCAACGCAAAATTGTTAGTTAGCAGGAATAAAAATAAATAATAAAATGAAAATCTTCCAGCAGACTGTGCGGGCAGCGCGGGCAGCGCAGCAATGGACCTGGTCAGGAGGACAAACACCAGCGCAGCCAGTCAGAGCCCAAAATTGCTGTACACAGGGAGCAACAATCAGGCTGATGGAGTCAGAGAGATATGTACATACATATGTATATATATGTATGTGTGTACTATATACAAAGCACGCCCCCAGCCAGCATTCGCAGCTCTGGGCCAGCCTACTTTTGCAGAATCATTCACATTTATGCTAATTTAATGGGATCGTTGCAAATTTAAAAATATTCGAAAAGAAAACACCGATTTCTATCTGCGTTTCGTTTATTACGCTTATCGCTAAATGTTAAGAGATAGAGATGATTATTCATGGCGATTGCATAAATGGGTATTAATGCCAATAATCATAATCAATCAAACAAATCATAATTATGCCTTCAATATAACAAGATCAACTCCGTTCCAAAATGTTTTATGACTTAATTATTAATTTATATATCATGAAATTTCCTGATATGCTAATGCACGTTTCACATTGAGTGGCGCACAGTCCACGGCTGAAACACAGCGGCGGCTCCACTGTGCATGACAGTTAGCCTGCCCACAACAACAAAATGGTTGACATGGCCCCTCGTTCGGCTAAGGGAGGCAGAAATAAAAAAGCAAGTAGGGAAAACCTTATCAAATTTTCATGACAATTTCAAATAGCTGACGACAGTAATTTTTTTTTTTTTTTTATCCACACCCACGCAGAAAGGAAAGTTGTGAAAATTTTGGTTGCTGTTTTTTTTTTTTATGGATTTCTCTTGTAAATTTTCTCATTTGACTGGGTCCAAAATAAAATTTTTGCTGCTAATTGATGTATATATCAAACAAGCCGTAATTATACTTACAACGCCCCCAACATCGCCCCGCTGCCTCTTACGCTCTCTGTCTAGCACTTTGCCTGTGCGCGCTCTCTCTCTCTCTCTCTCTCTCACTCGCTGTCTCTGTCTAAGGTCATGCAAATGCAGACAAAATTACAGTTATGGCAGCTTAACATACAAATTGGGAGCCAGAGTTGAGAAAAAAATCAAATAAAACAAAATAACGGCAAAGTTGGGCAGAAATTTTAATTGTGTTCTTAAAGCCCGAGCGAATTTTGCGCTTAAAGTCAAAATTTAGCAATATTAGAGCATTGATTTAATGAATAGCTCGGGGTAATTGTGTTTAAATTATCAATAATTATAATTATGTTTAATTTAATCACATTTTTATTCAATGAATGATAAAAAAAATTGATACAAATTACAAAATGTATATTTATATACATAATTATATTTATATATATGTATATACATCTGTTAGCTATAGTAATTTGTATAAAAAGTTATAAAACTTTTTAATCGATATTTAATTAGCTCAGTTTAATTTATTAATTGCCTTCGCTTGCCCTCACACCTTTCAATTTCAGCTAGAGAACTTTTAATTTGATTACACATGTGATTCACGTAGTACATGCATATATTTAACTATTCGATTGCAGCTGTTGTTGTTGTTGTTGTTGTTTGTTATTTAATGAATAAGGCATAAAAATCGCATACGCTCTAAGCCCATTTACATTGACTGAGCAGCTCTTAGACAGATCCAAATATCTATTATATTATATATGCATATGCGAAATAAGAGTAAAACTATTATTGAATTCGATTCCATTCAGTTTTCGCTCACACACACACACACACACACTGCTGGGCATCTGCGGCGGCTGTCGGCGCAGTGCGAGGGCTGCCCATAAACTTGTATGTGTGTTTATGTGTGCGATTTTTAACTACAGTTCTTCTAAAGTGCGGTCTAAAAAGCAAACAACAACTCTTTGCTCACAAATGGAAAATGTGCGAGAGAAAAAAGTCAAAATACAACAATAAAAGATATGCAGAACAAGTGCAGGCGACTGCCTGACTGCATAGATACCCATTGATAGCTAGACACATCAGCTAATTGCAGTTTGTTTGGGCAGCGAAGAGAGAGGGCAAATCCATATGCCCACTCTGCAGTAGTTATGCAAACTTCTAGGGTATTGGGTGAGGGAAAAAAGCTAAAAATAAAATAGAACCAAAAGCCTGCGCTTGTGTGGGTGTATTGCACATGCATATGCATATGTATGTGTATGCATGATACATTGTTGTTGTTGTTGTTGTTGCATATGTGCAGGGTTCGACGCCATTGCCCTGCACATTTTTCATAGGCGACAGTTTTGATTGCGGGCGCGACAGGAACGCGACGCTAAGAATGGAGAATATGGGCAAGGTGGAGATTTGCAGTGCGTGTGTGTGTGTGTGTGTGTGTGTGTGCGTGTGCGTATGGGTGTGGGTGTTTAGCTACTGCACAACAATGGCAACAACATGAGGAGCATGGGCAACAACTTTTACTCGACGCTTCGTTCGACTTGGACATGGACTTCAACTTCGCCATTCGCCTGAGCGCTGATTAACGACAATTCGTTTGCCTGATTTTTTATTGCCATATGCAGCAGAGCTGCCACTGCATGTTGCTGCTGCAACTGCAACAGCAGCAGCAACAGCAACAGCACATTCATTAGGCGCTGTCGTAGGCGCGTGTCCAGACTCCAGTTGCCAGTCTTGGGCCAGTAAATTTCATTAGCGCCTGAGCCGTTGTCTTTTATTGTCTGCAGCGGGGTCTCAGTTGCGAGGGGGCGTGGCATAAATATCATGATTATGTTGCATACAACAACAGCAGCAGCAACAGCAGCAGCAGCAACAGCCGAAACTTTGACATGCGCGACAACAACAAATGTCGCAAACACCATCAATTGGCCAAGCGCTGCGTATACGTAATATTTGATGGCCAGATTGACTTTACCGCTAGCTTGCGCCGAGGCCTGTAAATTGTACGACAATTGATTGAAAAGAAAGTCGCCAGCGCCAGAGCGCTAATTAATCTGATGTGCTATTGGAAATGCCAACGAATTTTCATTAGCATCCAGAGAGTCTTCCATCATCTTCGCTCCATCGTTGCGTCGAGTAGGTGAAAGAAAGAAAACGGCTAGATTTAACTGTTAGTTGTGAGTGTGTATATGTATATGCAGTATATGTGTATACATAGTACATATATATATATTGGCTTACATGTATGTACATATACATATGTGACTTGCTAGAAGTTCAAGTTCTGGATGGTAATTAAAGTACTTTGCTTATTTCTTGGGATTTTTTTCTTGGCTTTTCTTTTTATTATAAGTTGCAAATTTTAAATAGTCAAAAATATATGGTAAATTTTTATATATTCTATATAAAGTTAACATGTGCTATTTAGTTAATATGTTTACATTGCTGAATAACCGCAAATTTAGTTCATTTTGCTTTTTTCTTAACTGCAAGTTGATCCAAGGATCTGTATTAGACTTGATGAATTATTATTATATGGTCCTAGATTTGTTATAGAACGAAAATCTATTGGCACTTGAGACTCAAAACAAGTTAAGTTTATATTCTAGATATTTTCACCTATTTTGATCTAGTCCAAAGACAGTTCTGTCAGAATTTTTGCTTAGCTATATCATATTATTTATACATATACATATATAAATCACATTATACATTTTCATATATAAGATAATAGCTCCATACTACTGAACGACTAGAATTAATTTTTTGCAATATATCCCATAGCTCCTGTGTTACTTAAACATGTATAAATACTCGAGCTCCATTAACGAATTTTAATTAAAGTTTTAGCATATGATCTAGACATTCTATCAAATCTATCAGATTTTTTAAAATCTCCGAAGTCAGTCAGATAGTCATTATATGTACAGCTGAACTCAAATTGAAAGACTTTTTTCAACTTGCAAACGGTATCTAATATCCAAAATATATAATATAATATATAAGATAATGTTCAAATTATGTAAAATAAAAAATGACGGAAATGCAAAATTTAAAAAAGAAAATATATGCATATGTATATCCACAAGGTATACGTATAGCTGCCCCGATAACCGATAGCATTTTAATCGTATCTAAAGCAAACTCGATTTAAACTTTCAGTATAGGAATTTGTAATACAATTTCAGGTCCTTAGATTGCCAAGTTCATATAT